TGTTATGGTTTACATTCATCATATTTATTTATTATCAAAGAGGAACATTATATTTTTATTAGGTATATTATTTTATTCAGCACATTGCATGGTTATTTAGCGGCTAACTTTTATTCGTGTTTATGATAGTTGAAATTCGTATTCATTTATTAATAAAGATATTATTTGTACCTACTTGTGTTTTTAATATACTCACTCAAGTTGTTTATTTCATCGAAATATACCTAATATTTTGATGGAGGCGACAAGCGCACTAGAGGAGTGAATTTTTAATCGTGAAGTAGGTAGATTCAATCTATTTATATGTCTAGGATTCATTTTTGTCTGGATATCTCCTCCCTTACTATAGAGTTGTGGATATTTCCTTACAAACTTACAAATTTCGCATATATACAGTACAGACAGGGTAGGGTTAACATGTTCAGTTCTTGGAAGTGTGGTTTACATGAATCGGTGCGGTGTCTTCAATATTAGTCAAAATTCTTATTAGTTTTTTTGTATGGTAAATAGCGAAGGCGCATCCATACTATTTCCCCAGAGTATAATTCCATATTTAAGCCATTAGATTTAGTCAGGTGCAGTGGGCAATAGTAGGCAGACAGACGTAAGTGGTAGATAAAATATTTGTAGGTAGGTTTATAATAGTTAGTAGCGAACTGTAGAGGGCAAGAAGCTGCGATTTGTAGGTTGTATGGAGTATGGAGGAGAGAGGCGCGCGGCGGCGCAGCGCGGGCCGCTCCGGGGCCGGCTGCCGCCGAGCCAAACACTACGCACCGCCCTCGCTCCACCAGACGCGACACATTGCTCGACCCGCTGTCTACAGAGTACATACATACTTGTGACTCTTGTGACAGTAAGACTCACTCCACAGTCTCCAGACAGAATGGTATCTAGTAATCTGTTTCAGATCTCACTTTATTTATTTATACATATACAGCGTGTTCAGTGAACGTGTACTACCTGCTAGCTTAAACCGACCCAATTCTCAGGTAACAGGTGCTGTGCCTGTCGGTGCGTACAAATTGTACGTGCTCTTATGCCGTGGCCACACCAACGTCTACGTCAATGCCGATTATCGCGATGTTTACTACGATAATTTTTATTTAATTGCGATAATTTTAACGCGATAAAGTGGGTGGCTACATTTGAAATTTCAACGTGAATGCCCATCATGCCAAACGGCAATGTGAATGCCGTTGTCAAATTATCGCGTTGACTCGTGGCTACGGTGAACGTACATTATCGCGATAAGCAATGGCATTTCTCGTTGATGTGGCCCGGGCATTAGTGATTAATACGTATGTTGTAACTTGTAGTAGGGCGGACCGCCTCCTCCTTAGCTAGCATGATTGCTTCGCAAAAGGAGGAGACGGTATCCCAGTCCCCCTCGCTCCGCGTCATGGCCTGCACTAGGCCCGGACGCGAGAGGTCGCCATCGCCGATCACTTCCCTGAGGGCACGGCGGTGCTCAGCCCACGCAGGGCATTCCGCTACAGTGTGTTCCACCGTGTCCTCAGGGCGGTCCTCGCAGTGATGACACCCAGACGTTTCCTCCCGCCCCATCAGACACAGGTACCTCCCGAAACTCCCATGTCCGGTGACTCCCATGTCCGGTTTGCAGGAGTGGCTAATCGCCTTCCGCCAGACACAGGTACCTACTGTACTCACCGGACAGGTGCCGTCTGCCGGGAAGCCGTCTTCTCCTTCTGCGAATTAGTCATTCTAGCGAAGAAGGAGGCTGAGCGTGTGAGAGAACGATCCTCTTTACGCTCTAGCCGCCGCAGCTAAGCTAAGACATTTCGGGCGTCATGCGACGATCACCAGCCAGGGCCACAAGGAAATGAAAATCCCGCGAGATTGGGGTTCAAACAAGATCTCGCCACATTGGCAGTTTTTTGCAATTCTTCGGTCGGTCGCGGCAATGTTGCACAGCCTACCGCGTACGACGAAGACTGAAAGAGTTCCTCTGTGACTCGAAACTAGTCGAGCGTTTCTCAGTATAATAGTCACGAGAGTACCTAACCCGTCGTTTTTAGTCAACTGCCAAACTGTAGTTTACTACTTCTACTTTGACGTACATAACTATGAAATATTACCTATAAGAAACAACCAGTCTTCTCCTTTGCCGCCTTTGCCCGAGCTGGGATCAAACCCGAGATTTTTGGCAAATTTGCTAGCTGTAGGCACGTCGTTTGCAAATTATCGTCAGGGAGGTTCAAGTTTAGTAGGCAGGTAGTCGTAGTGTTCCTCTTACTTAGGAAGGAGAGGAGAGGGCGCGGGGCGGGGCGGGGCGCGCGTCCCGCGGCAGTGGCGCGAGTGTGGTGACGCGATGCGCTCGTTCGTGAGGGCGGCGACACTGGCGGCGCTGCTGGCGCTGGCGACGGCCGCGGCGCGCCGCAGTGACCAGGACTTCGAGTTTGACGATGACACGGTGAGCTTCTCCCCGTGCTTACTGTGCGTTGTACGCTCTGGCTGCGCGCGGCTCGGGTGGGCGAGACAATTTACATGAAGACCTTTCCGTACAAGGAGTCTGGAATGTTTTCAAAATCATTTATACTTAGGTTCCCAAGTGTCTGCCGCCAAGACTGCCTTCCACTACGTACCTATTTTATGCAATCTAATCGGATATACGGATACTTAGTACCACTTACACATGGGTCGCTTTATGTATCTACCTACTAACTACATTATTATCCGTTGTATACAGCAGGTAGGTACCTATCTATATTTTTACAGGATAGGTTCATACAAAGATCATACATAATAATTATAGCTACTTATATCGATAGTTTTCGTAAGTACCTACGTGGTTATGGGTACAATCACGGTACAATACAGTAAATAGAAAGATAAGTAGATATATATTATGTCATAATATATATCTACTTATCTTTCTATTTACTTTTGTTCATAGGTAAGGTCATCAAAATGTGTAGTTTAGGAAGGTACAAATGTAAGTAGGTAACTGTTCTCAATTTGTAGAATGTTTGCTGTGACTATAGGTAACATGTTTGTTAAACAATTTATTTCGATTATAGCTATTAGCTATACCTATATTGATTGGTTATTACCTTGATAGGTACCGAATTACATCTTTGGAAAGGATTTGGTTGGCAAATCTGGTAAATGGTAATAAGTGTAAAAACAGGAGGTACCTAGATGTTTTATATTGTGTGTTGTCTGCAGGACGCCGCGGCGGCCCCGGGCGGCGGCGCGCACTCGCGCAGGCCGAGCCGCTACGTGTACGACCCGCACAGTGAGTCTCGTGTGCACTTGCACCTCATTCATATACCAACAGCGATATATTATAGATCTATTACTGATTCATATATAGCACATGGAAGGCTTACAGCTAGTAAAAATACAATAAATAAAAAATAAAACTGCGTTTATAAACCTACTTCAAAAAACTAATAATAAAAAGTAAAAATTAATAACCAAAAAATAACTAGGTACCTATTTTATTAGTACCTACCAGTAGGTAGGTAACCCCTAACCCATCAGTAGAATGGTTATACCCACTCACTGATAGGTAAGAAGTCGGCGCCATTAGTTCTAAATATAATTATTCATCAATCAAAACCTTAATAGATACCTATTCATAGAATTCTGAGCTTAATTAATTTGCAAGTGGTATGAGTACTGGATAAAACAAAATTAAAAGAGCCTTTACCTAAGTACCTAATATTGAAAAACAAAACAGAACGCAAAAATACAGGCCATGCAGAGAATCTGATTTACAAACTTGAAATAAAACTAATGACACTAATTACCTACTGCTTGAAAAGTTTGAGATTAAAGCACTTTTTTGCCGAATTCACACTAGTTTCACAACTAGTCGAGATATGGTTTTTTTTTGTAGGGGAAAATCATCCAATTACCCCTTCCGCCTTGGGTTAAGCGAGAGAGTGTCAGGTCAGTTACTGACTAAAAACCACCCTGTTACTACCTACTTCTACTCTTCAGACAGCCCGATACGCCTTCCGCACCGTATCAGGCACCAGCCCTATTGGTCCCCATCTGTGATGGTCTGATGGCTCTTCGAGGCGCGCGGGGATCGCGACGCGCTGTACACGGTTCTGGTTCTGATCGGGCGGCGAGCTGCCCTTGCTGAACGCCCGCAGACCCGTACTTATATTATTCTAACTATGGTATAGGTTTACCTTACCTACTACTTCCTAGGTATATGTAGGAAAAAAAATTATACATTACAACGAATCATCATTATTACAGGGTACATCACTGGAGTATTACTGCTTAACTAGTTTTCAATTCCGGTTTGATTCATATAAAACTTGATCTTTGATATTTCGATCCAATTCCCTCCGCATGTTAGCACCCAGCTCGTGTCGTGAGTCGTGGTGGTTTGGTGCGTTTCGTTCATTTCGGCAGGTTAGTCGGCCAGCCGTGATTTTCAACGACGCTACCCCGCTCATCGCTAAGACCGCAGTCGTGAATGGGCTGTTATATGTACATGTATAATAATGTGGCCGTGTATATGTATAATGTAGAAGTTACCTGAGTAGTAATTTTGATATACCTACTTGTTTTGCAGATTCGCTGTGTCGCTCACTGGTGTGTAAGAAGCGCGAGGTTTGTGTTCTGCGGGACGCCTTTACTGCGCTCTGTGCCACCAAGAAGGATATCTTACGGCGAGGGTACCTACCCATCTATTTATTAGTTTTTGCTGTTGCACCACTTGCAGAATGATGATAATAAATTATGAAGGTACTTGGCCGTACTTACAATATCTGCATTGTTTGAACAGTGACGTGATAGTGGCCGCGAGCACCAGTGGCGGGGCGTGGGAGGGCGAGCGCGACTCCGGCCAGTCGGGGCGCGACGACAACGACGACGACGTCTTCTACGACACGTCTGTGCACGACACCGACGTCGACCCGGACCTGGACGCAGACGACGCCAAGCGGTGAGCGGTTCAAATACTTTAAAATGGAGGGCTCAATGGAAATGGATCTGTGGACCTGGGAACATAACGTAAATAAATTAATATGTCCGTCGCTAGTGGTTACCGTGGCCTACGAACGCTTGGGGCATTACATACGCCTTGCTAACCCCTATAAAACCTATTTACTACCTTCTTACAGAACCCGCCCCCCCCCCCATGTTGTAGCCCACTGGCAGTTATCTGTATGACTGTACTATTAGCGCGGTGGCTGGACAACTAGGTAGATGCCGCGCAACGTGTCGCGCGTTCGATTCCCGCTCGGAACAACTATTTTTATGATTCACAGATTGTCGTTTCGGGTCTGGGTGTCATGTGTATGTGAACTTGTATGTTTGTAAACGCATCCACGACACAAGAAAATCCAAGTGTGGGGCAATATTTTCTTTAAAAAAAGTTAAAAACAAATTAAAATTAAAGAAATTATAGTTAGATTCCACATATTATAATTATTTCGGTGTGAAGTAGGTACCGTTTCATCCTCAGTTCAGTAGGATGTCCAATTTTCTACCAGCCAAATTGCTCTTCTGATTTAATATAAATAAAAAAAATAAAATAAAAAAAATATACAAGCCAAAGTTATATAGTATACACCATTTCAATAACTGATCACTATTTCCAAAAATTAGTAGAGTATTTCCGGAAAGTAGGAGTCCCGACTCGACTTGGCGGAGAATAGACACGCCTGGGTTTTGTTGGCATTGAACTTGACTAAGTTGGCAACAGTCTAATCGGAAACCACCTTTAAGAACAAGTCCAAGCGTTCGACCGTGAACTCTGACAGAGACTAGATCTGCGTCATACTGGTTCGTGCTTCGGATACATGCCTCTCAACAACTGTGCTGGCAATATCATCTGCATGCCTAAACCCCGTATATTTAAGCAGCTCACTGATCTGCAGTTAAAAGATTGTCGCTGAGTATATAGGGACTCCTGAGGTAATAGTCTGTCAGACGAGCAGTGGTCGCGCTGTGGCAAGTAGTCGGTCGATGTGTGGCGCTGTGCAGGTGCGTGGGCTGCGGCGGGCGCGCGCGCGCTCAGTTCCTGTGCGGCTCCGACAACCGCACGTACTCGTCGCTGTGTCGCCTCGACCTGCACAACTGCGTGCGGCGCGGCGCGCGCCCCGTGCGCCTCGCCTGCCGCGGCTTCTGTCCGTGCGCGCCCGCCCGCCGCGCGCGTCTGGCGCCGCCCCGCGCGCGTCCGGCGCCGTGTCGCGCGTGCCCAGGCGCCGCGCCCGACTGCGCTCACGCCCCGACCACTATGACGTAACTCTACTGTCTTTTGTATTATTCTAACACTGACGTGCATGTACTCGCGTTGGTCGAATGACTGTAAGCGTCGAATACAAGCACGGGGAGCTTGGGTTTAAAGTATCTACAGAATAAGATAATTATAATAATTATTGGTCATTTAAATCTATACAAAGTGTAGATTTGAAACCACAGATATAATAAAGAAGGAGATATGGTGTGGACTCAAAAATGTACGCAAAACCGGTGAAGCCACAACTGCCCCTCCATAAAACTAATATTACACACACAGTTCTGACAAAACAATACTACGAATAAGTGCACACACGCGGCATCGATAAGTCAGTAATTCAAATATAAGCCTTATTCTTTAAATGACGGCGCACATTCTTCTATGATTTACTCACACTATAACAATTTGTCACTGGTGTGTTAGGGGCGGGATCTACCGACGCTGTAGTGACTTGACGATGTCGATAGCTCCCGATGAATATATCGATAAATTTATTACAAAGGTTTTGGAAATAAAGTAAAAACGACATAAAACCAACAAAATATTATTTGATTAATAAAAAATATAAAAAAAAAATATTACAAATCAAACGTCAAGTTGTATGTAGTTAATGATATAATTTGGATAAGAAGGGGATCGCATTTTTTGTTAATTAATGAAGTCTTAATGTGGTATATTTTTATATGACTACTTTTATTAATAATATTATGTGGTTATTCATGGGGGACTGCTCTGTGAATACAAAATTATGACTATGCGATGCTGATCATTATGATGCATACAAAGCTAATGGTTCATTTATGAAGATTAAAGTAAAATACATACTATAACCATAACAAGTGAACAAATATAACTACATATTTGCAGTCGACTTTCTTGTCGATAGACTTTGATAAATCTCCACGACCACATCACTATCTCGCTCAAAGACGGCGGTCTTGAGCAGCGGACGCACCATGTGACATCGCGTCTTGATGAGCGTTTCGTTAAGTCACTTTTACATTGCTGGTTTAGTTACTCAGTGTCACACTAAGGTGGTTGTAAAAGAGCAATGTATTAATTTAGACACAATACAGTCGGAGTCATATCGTCGAAAAATAAAAATAAAGTAATAACTTGTTGTTTTTCGTGATTTTTAAGATAAATATTGTAAATACTTGTTCTTGCACATGGTAACCGATGCCATGAATTCTACAGTTTTTGTTTTGGCTTATATGTCTGCACGAAACCACTGCACAAGACGGTATTTTATCGTTTGTTGTACGATCGCGGGTGCCAACAGACTAACTCACGGTGACGGCCATATTTTCCTACATTGAGCGGAGCGCTCAAATGCGAGCGTAACCGACACGCCCCTTTGCCACTTCTTCTTTTTTAATATTTCTGTGTTTGAAACCGTGGCACTACTCGAAGCATGTTACAGATAAATGTTCTATTTAAGAAAATACTTATTTCTAAACAATACTTTAAAATACGGCTATAATAATGTTGGAGCTGATGCTCTTGTCTTGATTACTGATAATCTTGATAAATAAAACTTGTTGAAATATAGAAATTTATTAAAACAATACTTGATATTAAAATGACTTGTGTGCACACTTGTACGGTCAATCGCGAACTGGTCTAATAAGTAAAGCGTTGAATTCGCAAAGAGTAAAATTGCAATTATACAAATTCATGTACTTTGTACAAATAAATTGTTTATGTCAATAAAATAAACAGAATCGCCCGACATGTCAGTATGTACTTACCAAAACAATGACGTATGCAATGGTCAATACAACGTGAAGTTCAGTGGGCGGGGCCACGCGAGACATCATGGCACGAGTATTCTACATGAGAAAGCGAAAAATAATAATCATTATTATAATTATTTTTATAATCATTAATGTGAGTATGTACGCGGCGCGCATATATTCACATTAATGATTTTTAATAGTATAGTCCTGGAAGCAGAAATAATTAATGAAAGTACGTCAGTCATCAGTTGTTTCATAACACTTTGTAATGCGTTACTTATTAATTATACAATTTATACATATTACAATTCTGATAAACAGTAATGATTCTAATGTTAGTAATTTAAAGTCTGAGTAATGAAAACACATAGCTAAGGTAGGATTCAAGTGCTCAGCTGCGGCCTGCGGGCATGATTTTAGGTATAAACGCATGGTAGGTAAGTTCAGTCCAAAGTTTTATTCGTGTATTAAGTGGTTGATTTCAAATTTTCTTCCTCATGAATTCAAATTCCGCGTAGATATTTACGCGTATATACGTACCGTACATTACCTACGTACATTATTTATCAGCTGATTCATAGTACTAAATGCATAACTTGTTGATTAGGTACAAACAATTTAAAGCGTACCGCAGTAATTTGGCAGTTTTCTAGTTGTCATAGTATTTTTATTTCTTCGTCCCAAGTATTTTTTACCCGACTGCCAAAGAAGGAGGGTAATGTTTTTCGAGTGTATGTAAGTATGTATGTATGTCTTTTCCTTTGTGACCACCTGTAGCCTAAACGGCTTGATGGATTTTGATGTATGAGGTATCGTTAGATTTGTCTTGATTACGGGAGTGTCATAGGATACATTTTATCCTAAAAGTCCCACGGGATAAAGACATAATAATATTTTTTCTAAATTTCCCTTTAAAAAAATATGTATGCGGTATCATTAGATTCATTTCAATCACGGGAGTAATTAATATAGGATACGTTTTTTCTCAAAATTCCCACGGGAACATGTTAATTCTGCGTCAACGCAAAGCAACTCATGCGTTAGCAAGCAAAAAGATAGGGCGTGGCCTGGCATGCGGCGCGCGGCGCGGTGCGGAGGGGGATATGCTCGAGTATACAGCCCGATTGCGGGCACACGCATGAGGGCACACGTCGTTGACGGTCGTCTCTAAATAGCGATTTTATTCGATATATCCCTATTTGTATATATCGAAATAAAAACAGCTAAAAAGTTATAAATAAAAAAATTATTATTAAAAAAACAAAATACCCGACTGCACACTAAAAAAAGAGTAAAACAAGCCCCACAATAATATTGATCAATCAAATGCTAAAAACTAATTATGTAATACCGTTTAAACAATACCTATATTAAAATACACTACAATATGTGTTCGTAATCGATAGTTAAATAAACAGAAACTTATTTTGAATACAAATTTACTGAATATAATTTATAAATGTTGATGGAAAGCATCGCAGGCGGGGACCACCTTGACCGCCACCAACGAAAATTCTGCTAAATGGTGCACAACCGAAATGACTATAAATAAGCCTCTGTTGGTCCCCGCCTGCGATGCATTCCATCAACATTTATAAATTATATTCAGTAAATTTGTATTCAAAATAAGTTTCTGTTTATTTAACTATCGATTACGAACACATATTGTAGTGTATTTTAATATAGGTATTGTTTAAACGGTATTACATAATTAGTTTTTAGCATTTGATTGATCAATATTATTGTGGGGCTTGTTTTACTCTTTTTTTAGTGTGCAGTCGGGTATTTTGTTTTTTTAATAATAATTTTTTTATTTATAACTTTTTAGCTGTTTTTATTTCGATATATACAAATAGGGATATATCGAATAAAATCGCTATTTAGAGACGACCGTCAACGACGTGTGCCCTCATGCGTGTGCCCGCAATCGGGCTGTATACTCGAGCATATCCCCCTCCGCACCGCGCCGCGCGCCGCATGCCAGGCCACGCCCTATCTTTTTGCTTGCTAACGCATGAGTTGCTTTGCGTTGACGCAGAATTAACATGTTCCCGTGGGAATTTTGAGAAAAAACGTATCCTATATTAATTACTCCCGTGATTGAAATGAATCTAATGATACCGCATACATATTTTTTTAAAGGGAAATTTAGAAAAAATATTATTATGTCTTTATCCCGTGGGACTTTTAGGATAAAATGTATCCTATGACACTCCCGTAATCAAGACAAATCTAACGATACCTCATACATCAAAATCCATCAAGCCGTTTAGGCTACAGGTGGTCACAAAGGAAAAGACATACATACATACTTACATACACTCGAAAAACATTACCCTCCTTCTTTGGCAGTCGGGTAAAAA